AGCTTTCAGCACTCTCCATTCCGGCAACTTCCACAAGATCGCACTGTAGGCGGCTCCACCTCTCTTGACACGGGCTGATCCAACGAAACTGACGACATATAGCTCCTCATCTCGTCTGATAGTGGGGATCGGAGCTTGGATCTTACGTCTTGGCTCCTTTTTGGGAGCGATTGAGATCAACGCCTTATCCACTTCCGATCTAGGTGTAATACTGGCTGCCAGTGCTCCCAAGATCTCATCCTCTCCTTTGACACACTTGGTGATCTCAAGTGTCCAAGGCGACAACAGAGCCGCGCATTGTCCTAAACGTCCTTGTAAGGCCGTGGATCTGAAGAGCCACGCCAATGTTGAGTGTCGGGTTAGCACATGGATTGGACGCCCGACCAACGCATTGTAATTGAGATCCAGGATCCTCAGAAGGGCTAGTACCTCCTTCTCCGCGATGCCGTAGTTTAGCTCATTCGACTTCAGTGTACGGCTGGCAAATGCCACGGGGTAGTAGATCTGGTCGTATTCCTGCATCAACGCTCCCGAGATGGCCCAATCGCTAGCGTACACCACCACCGTAGCTTTCCGATCTGGGTCAAAGTGTCGCAAGATCGGAGTTGTAGCAATCCTGGTCTTGAGCACGTTGAAGGACCGATGAGCATGGATCCAACGGATCTACCTCCATAGGATCAGGCGCCTCCGGATCCAAGGTCCTTCGGTGATCGACGTCCCTATCTTCCTGTGATCTTGGATCTGCGCCTTCTGCTTCCAGTACTTGTTGGATCCGCCCTTGGGTAGCCTCTTTCATCATCACAGCAAAGTCGATTTCTCGCAATTCGTACAGAACCGACGCGTAGATCGCGTAGTCTTTGATAAATCGGCTATAATAGTTCAGACTTCCCAGAAATGATTGCATAGCTCTGAGTGATCCAGGAAAGGCTAGATCAGTTAATGCAGACAGAGCTTTTGGATTCGCCACAGTCCATTGTACGAGACTTTATGTCCAAGGTATTCCACCTTGGGCATCC